ATTGGACCTCTATATCAAGATGTCGAGTTTCTACTCTCTACGGTTATTTACAAAACAACTATATATATATATATATACGTACATTTTTGGAATTAGAATTATTTTATTTGTTTACATCCATCCGTTACTGGAATTAAAACTCTTATATTCTAAATAATTGTAACATAACTATCAGTTCTGAGTGCATATCTGACACGTTTCTTATTTATCAACAGACTATTTTATTTCACATGATATTAGAAGCATAATATGCCATTTCATCGAACAAAATCCTACTAAAAAAAAGTTTATTTTTTATTTCTCACAAACTAACAACTTAATTAATAATTCTATACAAAAAAAATTTAATTTTTCCAACCCCTTGATTGTGAATGACAGTTAAACTTGAGTCTGTTTTATTTTGCAAGTTTTCAAATGATAAAAAATACACAAAAACTTTACAAATTCCCTCCCACAGTTTTGATTCCCGTACATTCAGAAGCATTTGTTTTGCTTACAGAAGTAAAATTAGAAAGTGAATTTTTTAAACTACTTTTGATCTTAAATTTCCTTTTTTACAAATATTTAATTTTACTGTAGTTTGCTTTCTAACACATTAATCTTCAAAAATCCATTCTCAAGTCTAACCTCTTAGGCTCATTCATTACATGTTAAGAAGAAATTCATTCAATATGCTTAAAATTCAATCAAAATTATTCCACTACACAGAAGCCATTCAACAATATAGTCTTTGAATGATAAATCATCTAGATAATAATTTAAATATTTTCATAAAACCAGGACTTTTAATCTTACATCAAAAAGTAAACCATAAGGTTTTTACCAGAAATAAGTGTTTTAGTAAAGCATTTTCTTTTCTCTGTTTTGACATCTTATAAGATATAACACCTTAGTAAAGAATCCCACAAGGAAGTATAAAACATTACATTTTGATGAATAAGACAAGCTCTTTGATGCAATAAATCTACAGACACAACTCGTGAGGTGTTACAAAGTTGGTAATTCACTATTCTTATACTTTATATTTCTGAATACAATAGTTTCATTAATGGTGGTTAAGATTGAAAACTAATATTTACCATTGTTGGAAGATTGGGAGGTGGCTGTAGGTCAAGATCTTCTATCATCACTTCAGTTCCTAGGTTACTAAAATCATCCCAGAACTCTTCCAACTGAGACAAACAAAATAAAAAGGAAACTTAGCACATTAAAAATGAATGTCAGATGCCACAAAACAGGGAAACTTATTTCCATTTTGTTTCTAACAACAAAAAATATTCATTAAAATTCCAACAACAAAACATTGGTTTGAAAAGAAAGTAAATATTCTTCTTTCAAGATCTTTAAGCAGACTTCTATTTGACAACTGAATATTTTTTATTTCCTCTTGCAAAAGTTCTGTAATGCTTTAAACTTCAGATAAAATCTCATTATATAGAGCAAGATGAATGTGATGTCATAAATATGATATTCCAAACAATATTTATATATCTCTTCAATGTCATTAGTGCAGGGATTAAGCATACTACCCCTCTCTCTCTCTCTCTCTATATATATATATATATATATATATAT